ACTAGTTATAGAGAATTACAAATATACATAAAAATATATCAACCATTTAACAATCAATACTCATAAACCCTCTCAATCTCCTAATCCTATGAAGTATTTTCAACTTAAACAAATACATATCCATATGCACCATTTCAACACAATCAAACACATACCCATATACACCCATATATCATATCTATGTCGATCTTCTCAATCATATTTAGTCCACTCACAAACAAACATACACACCCATAAGGCGTAATGCCTTAGTACTTTTATGAGATGTCTATCTCACAAAACCCTACAACTCTCTTACATCTTTTTCTCATACTTAATTGACTTCACTTATTTATAACCATACAAACTTGCCTATTAAGAATCTTTTTTTTCTTAAAATTCTTCTCCTGCAAATCAAACTTGCCTATTAAGAATCATCTTTCTCTTATAATTTTTCTTTTGCAAAGTCTTCTTGTCCATCAAGCAATATCTAGCCAATCTAAAAAAAATCTCTAACAAATCTCAAATAGATCTCTTATAGTATTTGAGTCATTATTCCTAATAATCTTCATCTTGACTCAAATTCCATCAATCATCTGTTTTCATGCTAGATATGCTTGGATAACACCTGCAATGGAAGTCCCATAATCATTTTCTCTTGCGTGCCTTTACATTTCAAGTAAATCGATCTTCAAAACACAAACTCGCACTTTTTCTTTGAATCGAGCTCTTCTAAGCTTACCTCTTTCCACATCTCAAACCATGCTCTTCCCTCGTCTTGAACCTTTAGCTCTTTTCACATTTTAAAATTTGAATTTTTGGCTTTGATACCACTTGTTAGAGATTACCGTAACTCTGATACCATTTGTTAAAAAATCAACATAGCTCTGATCCCACTTGTTAGGCTAAAAAGCCCTCAATCTAATCATACCAGCGAAAGCGAAATCACATAATCAATCAATCACACAAAAAGACAATAATTTAACATAGTTCGATCCAATTGACTTACATCCCTGGATGAGAAACAAGATCCACTAGTTGTAGAGAATTACAAACATACATCAAAACGTATCAACCACTCAACAATTAATACCCATAGACCTTCTCGATCTACTCTAGTCCTATGGAGTATTCTCAATCCAAACAAACACATATCCATATACACCCTTTCAACAAAACCAAACACATACCCATATACACCCATACATCACATCTATTTGGACTTTCTCAGTCTCTTCTAGTCCACTCACAAACAAACATACACACTTATAAGACATAAAGCCCTAGTACTCCTATGAGGTGTCTATCCTATAAAACCTTATAACTCTTTTATATCTTTTTCTCATACCTAACCCTATAAAGATTTCATTTATTTATAACTATACAAAATTACCTATTAAAAATCACTTTCTTCTTAGAATTTTTCCCCTGTAAGTCAAATTTGTCTATTGAAAACCTTTTTTCCCTTAGAATTTTTCTTTTGTAAGTTTTCTTGTCCATCAAGTAATATCTGATCAATCTCAAAAAAATCTCTAACAAATCTCAAACAGATCTCTTATGAGATTTGAGTCATTATTCCTAACAATGTGAAGAGCATTCTTGAGTTTGGGCTGCTATACAAGAAGAATGGATACTTTCTGTCAAGTGGCTTTGTGGATTCTGATTGGGCAAGTAATGTCGAAGATAGAAGATCAACAACTGGCTATTGTTTTGATATGGAATCGGCTGCAATTTCATAGTGTAGCTAGAAGCAAGTAAACGTTGCTTTGTCTAGTACAGAAGCAGAGTGTTGTGCTGCAACAATAGCTGCACAAGGAGCTTGATTGAAACAATTGATGACTGACATCTACAAGAAAGTGGAGTATCCCATTGCTTTGAGGTAATAAGTTGAAAGCAGACACTAAGGAGGAGTGTTCAAGTTTAGTGCATACTGTGTCGTTTTTAATTATGCTAAGGTTGACGCATTTGTTTCTGTTAGAGTGGAGTTTATTTAGACATGGTAAAGTCAAGGCTGTTAGAGATTTTTTAGGAGGACATCAAGGTCTACTTAGGAGTGGATACTGGTCTATTTTTTGAAGGTAATGGTGGTCATGGCTAGCTGATATTTCTCAACTGTTTTAGCTTATAAATTGTACTCTTAGCATTCTTTCTTCTCACATTCTACAGACTAAGTTTTTTGTTTCAAACGATTAAAAAAAAAAAGAAAAAAAACAAATTGGTGGTGTGGGCGGAGTTAAGAAAGACGAGGAGAATGGAACCCTTACCCCACATGCTGAGATCCATTATATGAACATAACCCAAGATCAACACAAATAATTTCAGGCCGTGCCTGCAGAGATGGTGGTAAATTATAAGCTATATATCCCTTCGTACAATTAAGAGTTAAGATTCAAAAAGAAAATCTTGAATGGAAAAAGAACATACCCCAGATATTAAGGAGTCCCAGAAGGAATACCCATACTTAAAAACAACATTTTTGCATTCCAAGCTTACAGTTCCTTCTGCTCCAATTGCACGGTTGATCTGGGGCCACAAGTTCCTGGAAATGATTGCTAGTAAGACCTTTAGAGCAATAACAATGAAAACAACCAAGAAAAGATTTTACAAATCAATAGAACTGAAATTAGATTGATTAGAACGCGAATGTTATGAACAGATACAGGTGGCCCAGCAATTAAGGGTGTCCCAGAATCCACAATGGCAGCGCAGCCACTCTTACATAGTCCTGCATGATAGAAGTATCAAGGCTGCAGTTTTTCAATTTTTTTTTTCTAAATCCAATTATAACTGATATAGCGATCTACAAACTTTTTGTTAGATAAAATTTCATTACTGTTTAAACAAGGTAGATAAAGGCTACCTGTTGAGTTGTTTTCTACTAATATATCTCCCACCTTGATCTGGAATGATCAATGAAATTATAGGTAAATATCAACCTTAATCATGAGAAGAAGCTTGAGTATATGATCAAATAACCAACTACAAAGACCTGCCAATAACCACTTTTTGTAACCGGGACATAAATGTGCTCACCTCCGAAGTGCCTCCAGTCAAGACCTCCAAAGACAATTTCACCTCCTAGCTCTGATGTTAAATCTCGATTTAGCCAGAAAGAGAAAAGTTTCTGGCTAACGTGACCTTGTTGCACCATATTGAACCTGAATGTAGATTGCTATGGACTATGAAAAATCTGTTGCTAACTGTAAACGGAGAAAGAAAAAAATATATAGACAAGTAATTAACAAGGAAAAAGGGAAAAAAAAAACTAGGACTAAATTCATCAAAAATGATGCAGTAAAGGTTACTTATATGATCATTTAACAATTATACCACGGAGGAGTAGCTTATTCCACTGAAATTTCCTGAAACCCAAGTCCAAGAATCTCATCATATTTTGTAAGTAGGAATGGTAGAAAACCTTCCCTTGTAATCTCTATGAACTCCTGAAGGATAGTAGATGCTATGACATAACTTTTTTGAAACACAGTAATATAATGCATAATATTTCATATGAATCAAAACTCACTTTATCTTTGACAGCAATATCTCCAACTTTGACATGATCTAGGCTAACGAAGCCATAAATAGATCCAGAGCCATAGCTGATTTTGCAAGGTATCCCTGGATGGATTTGAAGAATGTACCAAAAGGTTTTAAGAAAAGACACACATACAACTGCAGAAAATGAAGAACTTCTCAAACATAATGTAGGCAGCAAAGTTACCAATCTTGGTATAAGTAATGGATAGCCTTGCCCAAAACTTTGAATGGAAATGACAAGGAATCTGCATAAAGTCACACTTCACAAAGTAGTACCTATGGCTTGAGCAACGTTAACACACTGGATATTCAAGTTGAGACTTACAGAAAAAAGGCATTTTGAAGATGGCACCCAAAGATTAGAGCTGCCAGTGTCAAAGACAACAGAAAAGCTCTGAGAGGGCGAACCTATACCAATTTCTCCATAATATTGGGTATCAAGATAATTCTTTAGATATATTACATCTGCTTCCTGATCATTCATATTGCTTTCAAGGCCTACTCCGATGATCCTTGCAGCATTTATTCTTTTAAGGTCTAAAGGCTGCCTTTTCAGACTTATCCGCACTAGCCCATCAGATGAAGCAGTGAGAACCCAAGAGGTTATCCAAGTCCATATACAGATAGCAGTCAGAAGAAACTTAATGCCCATGTTCTGGTCTAAAATAAAAATGAGGACAAGCTTTAGTGGAAAGAGTATGATAACAAGAAGAACTTTACATCTAGTATGTAAAAGCTTTTGCTCAAAAGGATATAACGACTCTGTGCATGTGCCTGTCCCGGCCATGTTTTTTAGATAATACAGAGGCTTTTCATTATTTTAACAGCTTCAATTAATTGATTTAGTTCCCTACACCTGGTAGCATTAGAACTCTAGGCCATGGTTTATATTACACAGTGGTTTAGAGACATAGTTAGAAATAAACGGTATCTCCATGCAAGAGAGAGAACACAGAATCATGAAGAGATAAATACTCTAGGACAACCTTGTTAGCAATAAAACATATAGTATTAATGAAAGGATGATGGTGAAAATTGTGAGATATAATTAGGAAGTTCATACCTGAGGTTGATCAGAGTTTGGAAGGCAAATTTGGTAAAGAGATGAACTGCCCTAACTCTTTTTTTTTTTTTTGGATAGCTGTTTCTTCTTCTTCTTTAAGCAGGAAGAGATGAGTTTTGGCCTAAGTGCTTCAAAGGGATCTCGCACTTTGATGGATGGGTGTCATGCAGTTTTCTCACTTTACTCGCTCCTGCACGACCTTTCTGCTCTGCCCGCGAAATTACTGCGTAGTTTCCAACATCTGTCATAAGTGATAACCCCTTCGGAAACTAACCTGCTACGCAGATAAGTCAGTTTGTACATTGAAGATTGCTTGACAGGACCGATTCAATTGTCCTCTATCGAGAATTTTTTTTTTTCCTTCTCAATTTTGGGAGGTCGTTGATGGGATGGCACTGCTGTATTGACTAGTTAGGAAACTGTTCGTTTCCTTCTTATTAAAAGTACCCTTGGTTAACATAACTAGCATTTGAATGGAAATACAAGTTTATTCAAAATGAGTCTTCGATTCTGTCTCAGTTTAATTATTCAACGTTGATCAAGATGTTAGGAAATCCCATCCTTAATGCGATTCGAGCGCCTTTTTCTTTATATTTTTGAGAAGGCAAGATTTTTTTTCTACATATTCTGAATTCATATTCACTGCAGAGTAATTAATATGCTACATGACCTGAATTCACATTCACTTCTACTCTGTATTATTTTGCTGGACAGTCTCCCTCCATCCACATTTTTTATCTCAAGAGTTTTTTTTGTTCCAGCTGTTAAAAAAATCTGTTTCCACAACTACCACCTCTCGTTCTACAGAGGATAAAATGGAAAAGTAACTGTTCATGCACTTTATTTTCAACAAAATCGAACCTATGTACTAGCCATGTGTTCCGGCCAAAATTCTTTGGATCCTACCAGGTGTCCTGGAATGCACTGCCTAATCTCTTCAAAAGCACACAATGTTTCTGAATCAAGATCTCCAGCAAACTGCGAACACAGCAGGAATATTTTCGTAAGCATAAACAAACCACATTTTGAAATTCCAATTTTGAGTTTATGTAACAACGTCTGGCCTTTTGGTCCATTAGTTCTTATGTAGTGCTAGTAGGACAAATGGTAACAAGCTGCTGTTCCTATCTCCCTTTTGTATTGATTGACAAAAACAAGTTTGAAACTCTAATAAAATAATCCACAAGTTTTTCGTACCGAAGATGGGAACATACTAATATTATTTAAAGCAACCATTTCACTTCCGACATCAAGTTTCTATTAATTTAATAAACTTCATGTTGTTTATATTCTGAGAATTCACATGTCTAAAAAGGGAGTTTTTTGCCTTTTTCTTTATATTTTGAGAAGGCAGGGTTTTTTTCTCTTTTTTTTTTTGTTTGGTTTTTTTTTTTTGGGGGGGGGGGGTGTGGGGACTTAAGGATTACCTGGTTAGCCCTATATGCAAAATGCATGCCCTGATGAAGCAGTGCCTCTTGAGCAGATTCCTTGTCTAAGCTACGGACCAATTGAAGCTCCGTTCCCACTCTCTTTATGTACATTGTGGCCAGCTTCATAGAAGCCTGCTTTATCTACAAAATTACAAATTCTTCACTGACAATGGTTGTTGTGTAACATGGTGAAAGAGGAAGAGCAGTTCATATGAGGTGAGAATTCAAATCAGTTGAAACATTTTTCCTTTTTTCACACTTCAAAAAATGTTCACAGCATGGAGAGGGACAAGGGAAAATTTTCACAGCATAATTATTCAGACATGGATATAGCATTAAAAAAGAGATTTCACTTTTCAGCTACTAGGGAACTAAGAAAAGTTTAAATTTTCAGGACATTTACCACTAATTTTTCCTCTTCTTTTCTCCTCTCAACCTAAAGCAGGCAAGAGTGTGGAAAATCCTGAAACTGGAGCATAATTACTACTAATTGGAAAACCAAATCCATCTCATGTGACTTTATATAATCATGCACTATACATGGGTGGTAAAGATTCCATGCATCACCCTGGCGGTTCTAAACTAATCATAGTTGGTGACAAGTTGATGACCCTAGGTTTCAACCCATCGTTCAAATTTCTTGAAGTATCTGGTGAAGCCATTAACACACTGATTCAGTTACACTACTAAAAAAGGGACCCATATAGACTGTTACGGTAAACTAAGAATCTTGAAACAGAGTGGAATTTAGGAAATACATTGGTCTCCAAGTCCCAATCAAATGCATTAGATTTAACTGCTCTGCTAAATGTTTTAGGCTGAAATGGAGAAAAGGAAAAAAGGAAAAAGGAGGAGAAAATGTGGTCAAGAAAAAGGGAAAGGTATGAACATGAAAGAATAATGAGCTTACCTTAAACATGATTCCTGAATCAAGCATCCAATCAGTTGGAATCTTACACTCCTGATAAGAATGCATTACTGAATTTCTCAGTTTGATAAGCCTTTTTATGCTCCTTTCCGACCTAGCATGATTACACGGGTGAATGAATCATTCAGTTTCCTGACTAAAACTCACATATGTCAAATTAAGACTATGAACTAGATTACAGTTTATGCTGCCCTTACTTATCTAGTAGGCCAGCCATCCTCTTCAAGGCAGCTCCACACGGAATGCTAGTGTCATCCTCAAAAGAAGAAATCTCATTTTCCAACAATTTTAGATCACGATATTCAATAGCAGCTTCTCGCATGGCATCAGCTTTCCTCTCTGGCCACTTGAAATGCTTTAACACAGCACGCTCATCAGCCTGTAGAAATAGGATACAAGCAAATACAAATAAGTCACATGTGCATCACCAATGTACAGTTGCCTTAGACAACCCGCAGATACAGTTGCTTAAACTTCTTCAATACCATGGACCACTGCTCTCTTATTAAAATGAAACATCTTTTAATTCAACATATATAATACAGATTCTCTTTTTCTCTTCATAGAATATATGAGAAGATACTTTCTTGTGACAATTATAATTTGCCACAATAAGGAATAGCAAACTAAAACTACTACATGATTTAAATTTCTTTTCACATATTCTGAGATTATCTATATTATAATTAATATACTAGGCATGTAGTCTTAAAACTGGGGACAGCCTGTAGCATAATCCTCTATTTTTTATCTTTGGAGCAGTCATAAGTCTTAACCAATAGTTGAAATACAGACGCTGGCAATCAACTTAAGACTGATTATGCAGAGTGACACGTGAATAAAAGTTAAGATCAATGTTAAAGCAAACAACCTACAGAGCTTTGAGACTTTTACCAAAGATGAAAGCTCACTATCAAGCCAATCCACAAATTTCAGGACATCTTCTATATCTGTATAAGCTGCAGCCAAGACTTCGTGGATGAGACTGTTGATGAATTCTCCTTTTGTTTCAACATCCGCTTTTATCTAGCAAAATTTTGTCAATTCATAATAGCCGAATCTTCAGAGACAACCAACGGAAACAAACCAAAACGTTCTATATCACTAACTCAAAATACTAGATGCTTACAGCCAGCAGATGAGCTGATCGATTTTGAATTTCACCAACTATGCTACTATGCACGCTAATAACGGTGGGTTTGTTGTGATTCCATGCTGCTGCTGCTGATGCAGGATCTTTTTTCCTTTCTTGCCTTGTCAACGACGATTGGTAACATTGCACGGGGCCCACTACAGGGGAGTGAGCCTTTGGTGTGGTAGCTGCTTTAGCAGGAGGCCGAGGTGGAGGTGGTGGTGGTGGTGGAAGTGGCAGCAGTAGTGGTGGAGGTGGTGGCAGATAGGAAACTACTGATGCAATTGCCTCTGTGCTGGTATCCTTTGGAGTCAAACAAGCAGGTGCCCTTAATGGCGGTGTAACTGTTCTTGCCTCCTTGATTGCCTCCCTTGTAACTTTTGGGTGTTCTAATTTGTTGGCAATGAGTTTCTGAATGTCCTTGAATTTGGGGTTCTGGTACTCTCCAGTTGACTTCCTCTTCTTCCAATACAATACATGCGTATAGATGACATTGTAAGAAATCTAAACTAGCGGTACTAGTATTTTTCAAGAGACAAGTTCTTTTTCAATTGATTTTTTTAAATACCAGAACCTTTTTTTCTTTTTTTTTCAGGAAGACTAATTTTTTTCTGAATAAAAAGTGCCCAAATAAATTTAAAAGGAGAATGGAAAACAAAGGCAATTTATTCGACAAGGGTTTGAAAGGAATTTATTCAAAAAAAGTTACTATCTTTCTTCATAATCATAGTATGTACTTCTACTACTACTATTTATCAAAAACAAGGACTATCAATTGCAAATAACAATCTTACATTAAGGATCTCACCTGCAGCTGAACCTGATCAGGGCTTGCAAGAGCTGCTATCTTTGCTTCAGCAGCAGCAAGATCCTCGTTGAGCTTTCTATTAAGAGACTCCAGCTCTATATTCAAGCTCCGTGCACCATCCAACTCTGCCCCCAAACCCAGCATCTGAGCCCGCAAATCTTTAACCAAAGCCTCACTACAACTGAGCTTCTCTCTCAGCTCATCAACACTATTCTTCTCTGTTGCGACGGTGTTTTCTTCGCTCTTCGAAATAAGATTAGTGCTAAAACGCCTAGGCCGCGCAAATTGTTCCACAACTCTACCCTTGTGATGGTATCCCACTAGTTGCAGTTGGTCTCCAGATTTAGGCTTGTTCAGCAGCGGAGACTTCCTGCTGTTTTTTGTGCTGTCCTTGACATAAGGGGGTACAGTTTTGGGCCTTGCTTCTGCTTTCTCTGACTGATCTTTAGGCTTGGAGTTGACTCTTAAGCGTGAAGGGGTGGTGCTCTGCGGGTGCGGCATGGGAGTAAGTTTGCACTCTGCTGGTTTTAGGGTTGTTGGTGTTTCTTGCTGATTCATTGGGTTCAAACTTCAAAATCCTTGCATTGCTTAATTGAGTTAATTCTGAAGAAAGCCAGGGGTCTGCAACTGGCAATGCAAGAAAGAACTGCTGGTACAAGTTGTGTAACACTAACAGAATTTGAGATATATCTGTTAGCTTGTGTGTCAAAACTTAAAGTCACAAAAGGTGTCAAGTTCAGGTTCCAGAGTATTATGTGAAACCCGTGGGGAGATCCGTCAGCATCTGATCATCGGACTGGCCATCGGGCAAATTTAATGACTGTGGACGACAACAAACATTTGATTAAATCATCAAATTTAATGACTGTGGACGACAATTTCCGTTTTTTGTTTTTTGTGTTTTTGTAGGTGAGAAAGGAACATTTTGACAACTGTGGGATAAAAGAAGCTCCTCGGTGGCCTGGCGGGGCTACGAGTTTCGAAATCAAGCCACCAAAAACTGTAGTTTACTCAATCACCAGCCAATTTACTAATAATAATGGAAAGTAATGAATACTTGATAGGAAATGAAAATTCTTCCTTACGCCCCAGTAATGGCTGTGACACGTCAAACAAAGTAACCGACATGTGTAATCGGTATGCACAAATAGATAATTCCATTGTGCTTTTCGAACTTATTGTAGCTATTTCATTCATTTATTAATTTGATGATTCATGGTGCTAAATGTGCTATTGATTTGGTACATACTCTTTGTCCCAAAATATTTTTTGCATATTGATTTTTATAGAATTTTTTTAAAAAAAATTGATTTTAATATATTTAATATTAAATTTTAAAAAAAATTATAAAATTAAAATTTTATGATTTTTAATGTCAAAAAGTATAAAAATAATTTTAAAATATATAAAAAAAAGAATTTTAGATGTTAAAAAAATAAGTTATAATTTCAAGACATTTTAAAAAATATATTAAAAAAAAGGGAGGAAGTATTTTCTTGGAAAGTGATTTATTTAATGAGGAAAGTTAATTTACAATAATTTTGCTCGCAAGTTGAATTGTGGTTGGAATCAAGATTAATTAAAAATATGCAGGATGCAGAGAGAGAATTACAATTTACAAGCACACGTTTGAATGAAACTGGAAAAATGACTCAACTAAAATCTGCATTCTGAGTGGGATCCTTAAAATATGCATTGAACGCAGACTTGTGTAAATGTATCTCTATGCGTACACCCTAATCATACTCAAATATAGATTTCGGTTCAAGTTGTCTCATCACCAATCGACCGATGATTGGTTCAAAGTTACGTTATTAGCCTCTAGGGTTGGCGCATCTACCGTTCCCTTTCCCGGTCCCAATAGTAAGTGTTTTTCTAGTTGTGTTTTGTCTTGTTCTGTAATGAGATCACTTCTTCCATAACTGATCTCGAGTTGATTAATTTGAGTTAATAGTTATCAAACAAAACCACGTTTGATGATGATGGAGATGGAGGTGCATGTAGAAGAAAAACATCAAATTGCAATGGAATACTGGAATTTCACAGATTGTAATTAACATGTTCTCTCTCGTCTTTCCACAAAGAACCTAAGCAATTAAGAAATAGATGCCATAAATTGAGACAAAGAAATGGAAAATGAAAGAAACAGATTTTTTTTTGAAGGAGAAAATGGGAGTAAAGGCTGAGAGAGAATTATATCCCATTATCTATTGATACAAGATGACATTGTCAATGCAAAAGAATAAATTAAGAGACAGTTTTATTCCCTTTACCTTTTAAAACAAACATGACTATATATTTTTCAGGTAATTAATGCACAATTAAGAATTCCGAAAACAATATAACCATAACCATGTTGGTTTATACCAGTAAAACAAAACTACAACAGCATCTATATTAGGCCTAGAATACCACTTTTTTCAAGCGAATTGTATTTTTCCTCGCACCTGCATGCATGGTTTTTTTTTTTTTTTTTTTCTGAAACAAAAAGGTTAACATGCTATAAATTCTACCTCCATAGTGAATGAAGCAATGCAAGATTGTCTCTTGCTGCTTCAAGAGATAACACCACCAATAAGCAAAAATGCATAGCCTGAAGTTGACTTGCGCTCATCTAAATCACCTCCATAATCAGCATGCTATATAGCCAATAGGTTCAAGTTTGAACCGCAATAGCTGTTCAATTATAATAGTTCCTTTAACGTAATATCCTTTGGACTGCTTGCAAATCCTGAGTTTGATTGAAATCTACTGACCAATCCAACTACAAAGATGATATTTAATTTAGTGCACGTCATGGTATATACAAGGCTGCCAGCACTAGAATAAAGAATATGAACCAATTCTTTCCGTTCTTTTGAAATCTTAAGAACCATATCAAAACTCAAGCTTTCACCTTTTGCATTTGGAGTGTCAATGGGTTTGCAATTCTGCATCTAGAATCGTTCAAGAATCTTCTTCTTGTTTGTCTCTTTAGAGAAGCCAAAATGTCTCTTTGAATGATCCCTTAATTAATTATGATCTTTACTCCAAACACATAATTTGACTCACACATTTCCTTTAACTTAAAGTTTGAGGACAACCACTTTTTAATGGCGATAATCTTTTCCAGCCAATATAATGACAAATTGATGAAACTTCCATTGACCCGTTTAACAGACGCACAACAATTCTCTTCAATCATCAAAACTCATTACGAATTATGACATGATGAAATTTGAAATACTATTATATGGATGACTAGAGTTGACATCGAATCAAGTTCGAGACGAATTTTGCTAACCTCGAACCCAAATCCGACTCTATCCGAATTTTTTTTTTATTTTTTTATATCCGAATTCGATCCTGACCTAATACTATATAAACCGTACCTAATTCGAAATTAATAAAATATTATTTTTAAAAATATAAAATATTATTTTATAAATATAAATATTTAAAAATATTATTATATAAATATATATATAAATAATTAATTAATTAAAAAATAATTTTTTATATAATATCGGGTCAAGTCGGATTTACCTAAAACTCAAACCCAACCCAACCCCAATTGTTTCATAATCTTACCCGATCCAAAACTCGAATTTTGAAAAAAAAAAATCGACCACTTAAGAACGGGTCGGGTCGAAACTGTCGGTGATGGGTTAAATTGCCAATCCTATGGATGACTACTTTGTACCTTATTTTAAAGGACAGGGTGACCACCGCAACAAAGCAAAAGGTGCCTTTCAGTAATTCTAACTTACCTTGACAACATTATCTCTAATTAAATGTTTTGTCAGACTGATTGAAGTTTTATATGCTTGACGAATACACACTAGAGGAAACAAGTGCATGAAACCCAATATGCGTAGTATGCAATCATGGAACCATAGACTAACCAGCCAACAGATAGAAAGCATTTTTCACAAATAGCAGAGATGGTTTAACTACCGTTCATCCCATTTTCCATCAATTATCAGGCTGCCAAGGGAAGCTTGCTTTTGCGCCACATCCAATAGCTTGCTCTCAAAGAATCCACGTGCTCCAAGATGTAACAAATTGCTTTTCCGAGGTCAGAATCTAGTGGGTGAGTGTCTGAAGTCCACAGAGCATCTACAGCATCTCTGAACTCTTGGCTTGGTTGAAAACCATGACATAGAAGATCCAGAAGCATACTCAGAGCAAAAACATAATTGCCTTTGGTGGTAATTACCTTCAAACATACTAATGAGACCTGAGGATCATTAACCCAAACCTCAATGTCGTCTTTGTAAAGACCCCTGAGGTACCTCCATGGGCTCTCATTGTCAGGCCTGGCCAAAATGGCTTCCACAGTGTATCTAACTTCAGACTCTCTCATGGCTTTGAGGCCTCCCAAGAAAGGAGATCTAGTTACAACAAAATATCTCTGTTGCAAAAAGGTAAAAAAAATGAATGAATGAAGTAAATTGACATTATTAAATACGAAAGAAAGGAAACAAATATTGATTATGATGTGAAGAATGTAATTGATTGAAATTGACGAGAACAATGACAGATGATCTGGTAGTATCATTGTCATCATATATATGGTTGGGATCCATAAAGCAGAAGAAGAATAAATTCATCCATACCTGATTCCAAGCAGAATTGTTAAAAATATCTTCCTCAAGAAGATTCTGACAGTAATCTAGTTCGTCTTCCCAGCCTCCTAATGCTTGAAGCACCCACTGCATTCAAAGAGGGAAAAATGTACCTATTTTTTAATTTCAATTTTTATGTAAATTATAATAGGTGCTATGAAGCTTAGCCACTTACTCAACCAAAGAAAAGTCAGGAAATAACAGAGGTTTCAAAGGGTTCTTTGGATTATAATCTACAATGTAAGTTTAACCAACCTGCCTATGTGACCAGGCATGATAATTTTTGGCATCAAGCAATAGTATCTTCTTAATGAGTTGAAGTTCCCTGGCTCTAGCATCAGTTCCCAATCTCTCAACAACCCACCGCCGATGATGCCTAAGAATTTTACAGTAAGAAGAGTGAAATGGGGTAAGAGAGAAATTAAAAAGATTAAAAAACATCAAACCAACCAAAAGTTGACTAAAGACCTGAAAGTTCATGATCTTGCTATAGATTTAAACAACATTAATATTGATCCGAAACAATCAGACACAACTAGCATTTGATCAAGATTTTTTAACCATTTCCATAATAAATTCAGCATACAATTAGCACATAATATGAATGGTTGCATATGAATTGCAAAAGTTGGATCACATCATTGCAAACATTGAGAGCATGATTGGAATAAATAAGATCCTTAAAATTTTTGCAGAATTCATTTGAAAATCCAAATTTTACAGCAAGCCATAGTTTTTTACTGAAAATATTTTGAAGTCATGATCCCAGTACTACTGTCACAAATCTGATTAAACATTTGCATAGAAGAAGTGGACAATGCATTGTTTGTAAACTCATAAATGATTGTACACTTTTATGAGTAGTTTCTCCCTTTGAATATAAAAAAAATACACACACATGCACATTACAATTTAGTGCATAAGAAATTGCATCACAAAGTTAAAGGCACTTTAAGGAAAAGCTAAGACTCTGCTTGGCCGATACTTTTGCTGTTTGATTTTTGGTTTTTGGTTTTCTGAAAAGTTGCTGTTAAGTAAAAGGTAAAAACAAATTTATAGTTGATTAAAAATGGACAAATATTATATCCAAACATTTGGTACAATGACAGGTAAATGTATCTCCCTACTCAAAGAACCTGATTCAAATCCTTCCTGCCCCATATTGGGAAAAAAAAAGGACAAAAAATTAAAATGTAAACAAATTGGAGAATAATTAGTCTATATAAAAATAGAAGCAAGCATTTTCTCATCTAAAGAAATTACATATCATATGGATAATCCTTCAAAAAGAAACTTTGTTTTTTGCATTAAAACGTGCTTTTTACATTTTTGCTTCCAGGACCAGAGAAAGAAAAGTAAAAAAAGTGCCTACTAAACAGAACCTAAGTAAATTCACTCTTCCTATTTGTTACTAAAAACATTAAAATTCAAACTAATTCATTTGAATTATAAAATCAATACTGGATAACAACATGAGAGTTGATTTGTTAATGAGTTCTTCTTAGAATTAAATTCCTTTTTATTCGGTTCCAACTGTTCCGATTGCAAACAAGAGGATCTCTTAAGACCATTTATGCAGTTAGCATCATTTACACAAACGCAAGTGAAAAATCAATCATTATCAACATCTGCAGCGTCGGCAGAGGGCTAACCTAAATGAGTAGAATCCTAGACACATGGTCCCTTGAATTAAAATTTCAAAATAAAACATATATTTCTGTATGAATAAAAAAAAAAAAGGAGAAAATGAAAGATAGTAAGATGAGGCAATAATGCCACTAACCACAATTGATAGTTCTTCGAATTAGAACTGGCGATCTTTTGAAGGAAATCCAGTTCCTCGTACAAATCAGCATTAAGGGTCTGGAGTATTTGTCGCCTAAAATACCACACCTTCACCGACGAACAAAAAGAAATACAGAGTTCAATAATCAAATCATTAAAAACAAGAAACAAGACATAAACTAGGTATATATTACGGTGTAATTGCCAGGATTGACAAGGATGGCTTGGCGAGTGAGACGGAGGGCACGAGGGGAGCGCTCATCAGCTTGGTAGATGGCTCGAAAGTAGTCCATTGTTTCCCGGAATTCTTCCTTATAGGCTATGGGGACTACTGGGTTGGGACCATCATCTTGAGGGAGAGGGGTCACGTCACACCACTCAGCCCTTCTGCTCAGCAGCTGTCCATCATCTCCATCTGATTCCATTTTCGGTATCTGCTTGCTGCCTACGGCTGGACTGGACTGGTTTGGATCTAATCAATATTATCTTATTGACCAAAAAATTGGATTTAATGTGGGAGTAGAGAAAAATGAGTTTTATATAAAAATTGGGATGTAAATAGAATTATTAAATGGCATTAAAAGATAATTTTGAAATTACCAGAAACTCCACTAGCGGCATTATTTCTGAAATATAACAAATATCTATATTATAATCCTGCTACGTGCGAAATAATTTTATTTATTTAACGTGAATATATATATTATTTTTTAAAATTATATTTAAATTTTTAAATTTTATAATATATATAAATTTTATATATATTGACTTATTATTAAAAAATAAATTTTACAAAAATAATAAAAAAATTATTTTTTTTGGATATTTTTGTTTACAATAATATTTATATATCTATAAGATTATATCAAATAAAAATAAATTATACCTTTCTTAAAAATATATATATTATTGAAGTATAAATTAAATAATAAAAAAATATTAACATACTTTCATTTTAGTAATATTGACTAAATTATTATACAAAATATGAAAAATATGTGAAAATATGTGAAAAAAGAAAAAATAAATTTTAAAAAATATTATTTTTCATAAAAATGAAAACTGTAATAACAATAAAATATATCTTAAAAAAAAGTTATAAAAAATTGTAATAGTAATAGAATATACCTTGAAAAAAATTACTGAAAAATAAAAAAAATTAATAAATAATACATTACATTTGTAGTCTTAAATTTATAGAAAAAATCTTTAGTGGCTATTAGAATTAAATAAATAATTTTTAAATTAATTTTTTAAAATTTAAAATGGATATAATAAGTGATAAAGATAATATTAAATTATTTTTACATTTATTTGCAATATAAATTTGATAATTAAAGTTCAAATAAATATAATCATTTTGATAATCTTATTATTTAAAGATTTAAGATGAAAATTTCTTGAATTTTCAATATCTTATATAAAGTTGCTTGAATTTTTAATATCTTATATAAATTTTTTAAAAAGATAATTTTTTAAATCAAGATAAAAAAAATTGTTTAAAATTTTGAATAAACATAATCTTTATAATTTTTAAACATGTTTGAAAGATTTTATAATTAAATCATTTTTTAAGTAAGACTATTTGATAAACAACTAAAATTATTTATTAAAAAAATTCATATTTCATATTTTTAATTTTAAAAAATATATCTCTAAATTGATTTGATTTTAAATTATAATTTAAATAAATTTAAATTATCTAATTTATAATTAAAAAAAAACTATCTTATTATTTTTTAAAATTATTTTATATGTCATTTAAAAAAATTATTCACATAAACATTCATGTGACAAATTTATTTATGTATGTTATTATATAATATATATATATATATATATTAGATATATTAGATAAGATATGTGGCCATATTCTAAAGGAGTGAAATTTTAAATTTTCATAAAAAATTAAGTAACGAGAATTAAAATTCTTCTTTTCATTTCAGAAGACCAAAAAAAAAAAAAATTCGAGACAATTTATGAAGTTTTGTTTAGATAATAAAGCCGCTAGCGGAGTCTATGGTAAGTTTGAAATTTATTATATAATTTATTAAGTTTTTTCACTTGTTCCTTCACAAATGTTAGTTTATACAACTAAAAAATATGTATGTAATTTATAATTTTATTTATGATATTTTACAAATATTTTTGTTAGTTCTATATACATAAACGATTGAAGCAGTTGGCAATCTAAAGCCTTGAACAGTCAATGTCCCATCTTATTATGATAACTATGTTCGTACCGTACCGGACCGTACCAAGTCAGTTACCATCATTCATCTCACACGCAGGTAAACACAAAAAGTTTACTCATCTATTTATTGTTTACCAAAAGTAAATAAATTATTCATTTAACTTCAAAAAACAACATTATCATCAAATTCAGTACAAGCACCACATATCAGCAGTCCAAATTTCACTCCCTGTTCACCAAAGACCCATTCTGATCTGAACAGTAATATGAATATGAATCATGTGCAAGTGTCTGCAAACACAAAAACAACATCTCAAATTCAGTTCCGCGCCGCATACCATTCACCATCAACATATATATATATATATTTACCAATTCATTCAACACTCCAAATACCTGCTCTTGCGACCGGAAATACATGAAGGGCGTATAATTGAGAAAATTGGACACTCTAGACGTATATATATCAGCATACCTGAAATCACAATTCATTACTACAATTCCGTTAAAAGCAATTATTTTCAACTTTCTATTTCAGAAATCAAGATGGGACTTTGAGGCATAAGGACATACTTCTCTATTTGTCGCATCAAGTGGCTTTTGTCCCATAGACCTGCGCGAGAAAGAAAGCCCCACCTAAAGCAAAAGGTTTCAGACCATCTCAACTCCCTGTCTCTAAGGCGTGTAATCCTAGACAAATAAGCATGCATGCCACCCCCCCCCCCCCAAATAAAGAAACATATATGATCAACCAACCCCAATCGACTCCATGAACATGAGCATTCATATATTCAACATAACCTCATTTTGAAATATTCGAATAAAAGAGAAGCCTTTCATAGCTAATCATGTTAATAATCTCAAAAGATGTAAGTTCTCTCTCCTTTTTTTACCTTTTATTAAACAGCTCTCCATCTGCTTCCAACATCGGAGCAATCTTCTCATCAAGCCTTTGCATAACAATAAGAAGTTTCTGCATGCTCTCTGTCAGTTCTTGGTCATTCATGTTAGTTGCAGCAAGTGTCTAAAACCATGGAGAGAAGGAATCAACAAATTTATTATTTCACCATCCCAATAACCACCATTTTTCTCTGAATACATGTTAAATGAAGAAATTTGGCAACAGTTTATGAATACATTACATGTTGCATGCTTTTTATGATGGCAACAGTTTAGAAGAAAAATAGGAATAAGCCAAATTTGAGCACAAATTCTGATTAAATACACGAAATTTATACAGCAATAAGCCAGAGAGAGTGCGGATGCTGCTGCCCCTTAGGGAGATTATTCATGATAAGAAAACAGGTATAAATTAGTTTGACATACAAAATTAGAACATCACTTTATAGGGATGAGACCGCAGTATGAAGAGCAAAAAGGTATCTAACATTAAATGTTTCACAAAGGAAATTACACTTAATACAATCACACTATACCATGAAGAAGAAACAGGGATCTAACATCCAAGGAATCATAAGGGGAATTGTAAAATAAGATCAAGTCACCTGAGCTGGACGTCCTTTGGTTCGCCGCTGCAGAGCCAGACGTAGTTGGTTAAAGAGATCCCCTACAACCTCCTTTTGATTTATAAGCTCTATCAGAGTGGCACGACGACTCCGACTATGAATTAAAGCGTTATACTGTAGTTCACAAAATAGAGACCATTTTCAGCCCTCAACATCTGAGGATTTAAAAGAATGCATTACCACTTAAGTATTATCCATAATCCAAATTTACTATTCAAAAATTGCTTTATTTTCAGAACCAACGGTTCAGTAATTAACATTACTTCAAGTTCAATGACACCCTTTGCCTTCACTTTGTAATTCAGATTATATTCATCCTTAATAAACTACTGAGTAAACAAATCCTTACAATAAATTATAGGAACAAAATAAAACAACTGAACTTTCGAAACACATAAAATTCTCCTTCCACGTATAATAGAAAATAGTAAGCATAACAAAATAACAAATTCGTACCTCTTCCTCCAATTCTCGACAAATCAATGCAGTCCGCCATCGTAAATGGACTTTGGATTGACTAACATCAGTGTAAATATGATCACCAACATATAGAATCTCGTCTCCATGGATATTTAGGGAATTCTCAACCATCTGAGCACTCCCCCCAGAGTACAGACCCCCTGCAGAAGAAATAAAAGATGAATAAATAGGAATGCCAAATCATGTTAGCAGAATTATAACTTCCTCTTTCAGGCACACTGCAGGACAGACAGAAATAAGATATTTCTAAGATTAAATCTTTGTTTAGAGGTGCCAAAACAGCACTGTCATCAAAAGCTAAAATGTTCATACATCACGGAGTGTAAATTCTCGCTCAAATTTTGGTTGAGAAGATATTTAAACCAATTTGAAGAAGCATTTAGCTAAAAGTTTTTGCCATGGAAAAAAAAAGACTATTACATAGCCATTACAAGCTTTCAAATACCCACGCATATATTCATTTGATGGTTTTATCTTTCTCAACCCCAAATTCTCCCATATGACGGCATCAATGATAACCAAGCAACAGGATGAAACAGATTAGTAATTGGTTTTTCTTTCAATCTCACAGTTTCACCTATATACATGTTGCATGGTAAAATATAAATAGGATCAAAACATAAGCTTCAAGGATAGATAACCTGCATGAGCCTTGAAGCATGGACGCATTAAACCCTCACCAGTCACTACTTCATACAATGGGTGTGACATTTGAAAGAACTCTGGCTTCCTTGCTGAGACTATCACCTATACAGATCCAGAACAACAAGAAAACACAAATAAACATTTATGGTATCATATCTAACATTCACATATCCATCTGTTGAAGCAATTTCATCATTTATGAGAAAACCAATCACAAAAGTTGTGCAAGGAGAAGACAGAAGAAAGTGTATTGAAGCTCTTGTACTCTGATAAAAAATAGAAGCAACATTTTGAGAACTTCCAGATCATGAGATCACAGATTATCAGTTTCTATAATTTGATTTGAAGAAAGATGTAAAAATCAGTACTCTGCTAAAAACAGTAATCAAAAGGTAAGCCAATGGAGACTTATTCAATAGTAAGGCAGGGGCCAACAATTGGGTCCCAAGTTAAAGTCAGTCTTGAAAGGGTTTGTTGCAATCTCGTTTTGGATTTTTTCTAGCTATATGCTGGTTTGTTGGTCAATTGGGTTTAGTGGTCATAGACAAAAGGGGGAGAATACTGAGCATGTAGCACAATATAAACTTACCATGTCAAAAAGATCTCAAGCACAATATATACTTACCATGTCAAAAAGGTCTCAAGCACAATATAAACTTACCATGTCAAAAAGATCTCGCCAGCCCATGTCATTG